GGACCTACTAGATACCACAGCATTCTTCGCCAGATGAATAGCTCCTTGATTATCCACGTTTATTGATAGAGGTTCGTTAATGAAATCTCCAGGTGCTACTTCTTCTAATAAACCTTTAAGCCATAAAACTTGTTTCGCTGCTTCCGTCATGGCCATATATTCTGCTTCAACTGTTGATAAAGCCACAGATCTTTGTTTCTTTGTTTGCCAACACACAGCAGCTCCTGCAAGTATGGCTACGTATCCACTCCAACTTTTACGGTCGAGCTTATCACTTGCCCAATCAGCGTCAGCAAATACTTCCAGAGGTTTACTAGTCTTCTGATATGTCAATCTCATATCTGCTGTTTGCTTCAAATATCGCAGGAGGTGTTTGACTTCTGTCCAGTTGTTGAGTGTAGGTGTTTCATTGAACTGGCTAAGATAGCAAACAGGATATGATAAATCTATCCTCGTTCCATTTGCCAGATACAGAAGGCTTCCAATTGCTTTTCGGTAGATTTGTTGATCAAACTTTTCTTCCCCTGAATCGATACTTCTGTTATGACATACTTCTAAAGGAGTTGCGATTCCTCTACAGTTCGACATTCCGAACTCATCCAATATCTTCAATATATAGGCCTTCTGGTCTAACTGGAAAACTTCCAGGGATGTTCTTGAAACTGATATCGACAATAAATTTGAGATACTTCCTAATTCTTTAGTTTTCAAATATTTCTTCACATCTGCCTTGAATCCTTCTATCTTCTCTTTCTCTCCAAAAATAGCTATGTCGTCTACATAAACTCCCAAAACTAGGTTCTTCTCCTCATTCATGTAGACACACGGATCATATTTTGATGAAATCAGTTTTATATCTTTCAGTATTTTATCAATGCATGCATTCCAGTCTTTTCCTGCTTGATGTAAGCCATATATACTCTTATTCAACCGACAGACGTATTTATACGAGCTCTTTCCTACTTCTTCAAATTGAGTAGGCTGTTCCATATAGACAGTTTCGCTTATTTCGCTATTCAGGTAGGCAGACTCCACATCAAGATGTTCTCCATACCAATTTTTCTCCACTGCAACAGCCATCAGCAACCTCAGTGTCTCTTTTCTAACCACGGGGCTGTATGTTTCCAGATAATCTATCCCAGGAATCTGCTTGAAACCTTGTGCGACCAATCTGGCTTTGTATTTATCGATTTCTCCGGACGGTTTTCTTTTGATTCGGAAAACCCATTTCGATCCGATTACGTTTGCCCCGAATGGTCTTTTCACTATGTTCCATACTTCTTTTTCCTTCAAGCTATTTATTTCTTTTTCCATTGCTTCCATCCATTCACCCGCATCTTCTCGTGAAAGTGCTTCTTTGATATTTCTTGGATCATCTATCTTCTCACATTTCACTAGATTGCAACATATACAATGTGATTTGGCATTTTGAATTCTCTCTGATCTTCCTGGTATTCTTTGTTCGTCTCTCTGCTCATCTGTTGGAGTCGACAATTCTTCATCAATAAAATTTACATTTTCTTCTTCTTCTAAAACAATTTCAGATTCTCTCTCTTCCATTTCATCAATTGAATTATTGTCTTCATCTTCGCTAGGAAAGAACCCGAATCTTTCTTGATTTTCTTTCGCAATGGGATGTACAGGATTTTGATTCGTATGATAGGGGAATACATTTTCTCTGAAAACCACGTCTCGACTAATAATGAGTTTCTTCTTTTCTAAGTGCCATAAGCGATATCCTTTGACTCCCTCAGGATAACCAAGAAAAACACATTTCTCAGCTCTATCGTCCAACTTCTTAGCATCATGTACTTTCGCCCATGCTTCGCAACCGAATACTCGCATGTGTTCTATATTTAATACTTCCTTAGACCACATTTCATAGGGTATTCTGTTTCCAATTGCTGTCGAAGGACATCGATTTCGTATGTATGCAGCCGTGTACAGAGCTTCCCCCCAGAAAATTTTCGGCATTCCTGACTGAATCAACAAGCATCTAACCACATTCATCAATGTCAAATTTTGACGTTCTGCAACCCCATTTTGCTCTGGACAATAGGGAACAGTTAATCTGTGAACAATACCAGAACTTTCCAGGTGCTGTTTGAATACGTTGCTGGTATATTCGCCTCCATTATCCGACTGAAGTGCTTTAATTTTTCTTCCTTGTGTACACTCTGCCATGGTTTGAAACTTCTTGAATTCTTCTGGTACTGCACTCTTCTCTTTCAATATGCTTACTGTTACATATTTCGAAAAATCATCAATGAAAGTGACATAGTATTTACCACCTCCTAGTGACTGAGGTCGCAAAGGACCCGCTACATCTGAATGTATAATATCTAGATGTTTTCTTGCAATACTATCCCTTTTCTCTACTATTGGAAAACTAGTTCGCTTCATTTTTCCACGAATACAGGTTGTGCAGTTATTTTCTTCTTTTTTCTTCTTCTCGGTTATGGTATCCTTGATACTAGGAATCTTGAAGATTGCTTCATTATGAATATGTCCCAATCGTTGAAGGTTGAACTTGAAGGTTGTACTAGGAGGTTTAACTCGAAGTTTCAACTTGAAGGTTGAACTTGAAGTTTGAACTTGGAGGTTGAACTTGAAGGTTGAACTCGAAGGTTCAATTCGGAAGTTGAATTCGAAGTTTGAACGTGAAGGTTGAACTTGAAGGTTCAATTCGAAGTTTGAACTTGAAGGTTGAACTCGAAAGTTGAACTTGAAGGTTCAACTTGGAGTTTGAACTTGAAGGTCGAACTCGAAGGCTGAACTTGAAGTTTGAACTTGAAGTCAGACTTGAACTTGAAGGTTGAACTCAAAGGTTGAATTTGGAGTTTGAACTTGAAGGTTGAACTTGAAGTTTGAACTTGAAGGTTGAATTCGAAGGTTGAACTTGAAGATTCAAATTGAAGTTTGAACTTGATGTCTGAACTTGAAGTTTGATCTTGAAGGTTCAACTTGAAGGTTCAACTTGAAGTTTGAATTTGAAGGTTGAACTTGTAGGTTGAACTTGAAGGTTGAACATGAAGTTTGAACTCAGAGGTTGAACTTGAAGGTTGAACTTGAAGTTTGAACCTGAAGTTATACTTGAAGGTTCAACTAGGAGGTTGAACTTGAATGTTGAACTTGAAGTTTGAACTTGAAGTTATACTTGAAGGTTGAACTTGATGGTTGTACTTGGAGGTTAAACTTGAAGTTCGAACGTGAGGTTGAACTTGAAGATTCAACTTGGAGTTCGAACTTGGAGTTTGAACTCGTAGGTTGAACTCAAAGGTTGAACTTGAGGGTTGAACTTGGAAATTGAACTTGAAGGTTGAACTTGAAGGTTGAACACGGAGTTTTAACTTGAAGTTGAACCTGGAGGTTGAACTTGAAGGTTGAACTAGGAGGTTAAACTTCAAGGTTGAACTCATAGGTTGTACTAGGAGGTTCAACTCGAAGTTTCAACTTGAAGGTTGAACTTGAAGTTTGAACTTGGAGGTTGAACTTGAAGGTTGAACTCGAAGGTTCAATTCGAAAGTTGAATTCGAAGTTTGAACGTGAAGGTTGAACTTGAAGGTTCAATTCGAAGTTTGAACTTGAAGGTTGAACTCGAAGGTTGAACTTGAAGGTTCAACTTGGAGTTTGAACTTGAAGGTCGAACTCGGAGGCTGAACTTGGAGTTTGAACTTGAAGTCAGACTTGAAGGTTGAACTTGAAGGTTGAACTCAAAGGTTGAATTTGGAGTTTGAACTTGAAGGTTGAACTTGAAGTTTGAACTTGAAGGTTGAATTCGAAGGTTGAACTTGAAGGTTCAAATTGAAGTTTGAACTTGATGTCTGAACTTGAAGTTTGATCTTGAAGGTTCAGCTTGAAGGTTCAGCTTGAAGTTTGAATTTGAAGGTTGAACTTGAAGGTTGAACTTGAAGGTTGAACATGAAGTTTGAACTCAGAGGTTGAACTTGAAGGTTGAACTTGAAGTTTGAACCTGAAGTTATACTTGAAGGTTCAACTAGGAGGTTGAACTTGGATGTTGAACTTGAAGTTTGAACTTGAAGTTATACTTGAAGGTTGAACTTGAAGGTTGTACTTGAAGGTTAAACTTGTAGTTCGAACGTGAGGTTGAACTTGAAGGTTCAACTTGGAGTTCGAACTTGGAGTTTGAACTCGTAGGTTGAACTCAAAGGTTGAACTTGGGGATTGAACTTGGAGTTTGAACTTGAAGGTTGAACTTGAAGGTTGAACACGGAGTTTTAACTTGAAGTTGAACCTGGAGGTTGAACTTGAAGGTTGAACTAGGAGGTTCAACTTCAAGGTTGAACTTGAAGGTTGTACTAGGAGGTTCAACTCGAAGTTTCAACTTGAAGGTTGAACTTGAAGTTTGAACTTGGAGGTTGAACTTGAAGGTTGAACTCGAAGGTTCAATTCGTAAGTTGAATTCGAAGTTTGAACGTGAAGGTTGAACTTGAAGGTTCAATTCGAAGTTTGAACTTGAAGGTTGAACTCGAAGGTTGAACTTGAAGGTTCAACTTGGAGTTTGAACTTGAAGGTCGAACTCGAAGGCTGAACTTGAAGTTTGAACTTGAAGTCAGACTTGAAGGTTGAACTTGAAGGTTGTACTCGAAGGTTCGACTTGAATTTTGAACTTGAAGGTTCAACTTGGAGTTTGAGCTTGAAGGTTGAACTTGAAGTTTGTACTTGAATGTTGAACTTGAAGTTAAACTTGAAGATTGAACTAGAAGGTTACATTCAATGGTTGAACTTGTAGTTTGAACTTGAAGGTTGGACTTGAAGTTTGAACTTGAAGTTAAACTCGGAGGTTGAACTTGAAGGTTGAACTCGAAGGTTGAATTTGGAGTTTGAACTTGAAGGTTGAACTCGAAGGTTGAACTCGAAGGTTCAACATGAAGTTTGAGCTTGAAGGTCGAACTCGAAGGTTGACCTTGAAGTGAGACTTGAAGGTTGAACTTGAAGGTTGTACTTGAAGTTTCAACTTGAATTTTGAACTTGAGGGTTCAACTTGAAGTTTGAGCTTGAAGGTTGAACTTGAAGTTCGAACTTGAAGGTTGAACTTTAAGGTTCAACTCGAAGTTTGAACTTGAAGGATGATCTTGAAGTTTGAACTTGAAGGTAAAACTTGAAGGTTGAACTTGAAGGTTGAACTCGAAGGTTGAACTTGGAGGTTGAACTTGATGTTTGACCTTGAAGGTTGAACTTGGAGTTTCAACTCGAAGATTGAACTTGAAGGAAGATAATGAAGGAAGAACTTGTAGGTTGAATTCGAAGGTTGAACTTGAAGGTTGAACCTGCAGTTTGAACTTGAAGGTTGAACTTGAAGTTGAACTTGGAGGTTGAACTTGAAGATTGAACTCGAAGGTTGAATCTGAAGTTTGAACTTGAAGGTTGAACTTGAAGGTTGAACTTGAAGGTTGAACTTGAGGTTTGAACTTGACGGTTGAACTTGCAGGTTGAACTTGAAGTTTGAACTTGAAGGTTGGACTTGGAGGTTGAACTTGAAGGTTAAACTTGAAGTTCGAACTTGGAGGTTGAACTTGAAGTTTGATCTTGAAGGTTCAACTTGAAGTTTGAATTTGAAGGTTGAACTTGAAGGTTGAACATGAAGTTTGAACTTCGAGGTTGAACTTTAAGTTTGAACCTGAAATTATACTTGAAGGTTCAACTTGAAGGTTGAACTTGAATGTTGAACTTGAAGGTTGAACTTGAAGGTTGTACTTGAAGGTTCAACTTGGAGTTCGAACGTGAGGTTGAACTTGAAGGTTGAACTTGAAGGTTCAATTTGAAGTTTGAACTTGATGTCTGAACTTGAAGTTTGATCTTGAAGGTTCAACTTGAAGTTTGAATTTTAATTTGATACGATGGCAGTGACCGTATGAGACGACTCTGAAGGGTATATAACGAGTTAAATAGGCAAATGAAGTTACATCGACTTCATCGGTGTGCACCCCTTATCTCTCTATCCTATTATCTCATTTGGATACTATTGGAGCGAACTAGTTCGCAATGCCCAAATGAGACGACTTCTGAGCGAGTATAACGCACACAACTTGCAGAAGAAGAAACTTCGACTACGACTATGTTCACACAGAAACTCTGCAGTCTAGCATCTGACATGCATACAGTTGAAGCAGATATGATCGCAGTGACCATATAGGACGACTTTGGAGGGTATATAGAAAGTACAATAGGCAGATGAAGATACATCGACTTCATCGGAGTGCACACTCTGGCTCCCTATCCTATCATCTCACATGGATACTATCGATGCAGACGAGTTCGCAATGCCCATATGAGACGACTTCTGAGCGAATATAACGCCCACAACTTGCAGAACAAAAAATTTCGACTTCGACTATGTTCTTCACTGTAACTCTGCAGTCTTGTATCTGACATGCATACAGTTGATGCAGAAAAGATTGCAGTGACCGTATAAGATGAAATTGAATGAATGATAACAGATACAATAGGCAAATGAACATACATCGACTTCATCGTTGTGCACACTATATCTCTTTATCCTATCATCTCAAATGGACACTTCTGAAGCAGACAAGTTGGCATTGACCATATAAGACGACTTCCAAGCGAATATAACGCATACCGTTTGTAGAACAAGAAACTTCGACTTCGACTATGTTCACACTGTAACTCTGCAGTCTGAAATCTAACATGCATACAGTTGAAGCAGATACGATTGCAGTGACCATATGAAATGACTTTGAAAGGTTATATAACGAGAAAAAAGGGGAAAAGAAGATACATCAACTTCATCGTTGTGCACACTATATCTCTCTATCCCATCAACTCACAAGGAAACTATTGAAGCGAACGAGTTCGCACTGCCAATATGAGACGACTTCTGAGCAAGTATAACGCACACAGCTTGCAGAAGGAAAAACTTCGACTACGAATATGTTTCCACAGAAACTCTGCAGTTTTGCATCTGACATGCATACAGTTGAAGCAGATATGATCGCAGTGACCATATAAGACGACTTTGGTGGGTTTATAGAAAGTACAATAGGCAGCTGAAGATACATCGACTTTATCGGAGTACACACTATGGCTCCCTATCCTATCATCTCACAGGGATACTATCGATGCAGACGAGTTCGCAATGCCCATATGAGACGACTCATGAGCGGGTATAACGCACACAACTTGCAGAACGAAAAATTTCGACTTCGACTTTGTTTTTTACTGTAACTCTGCAGTCTTGTATCTGACATGCATACAGTTGATGCAGAAAAGATTGCAGTGATCGTATAAAATCGAATTGAAGGAATTATAACGGGTACAATAGGCAAATGAAGATACATGGACTTCATCGTTGTGCACACTATATCTCTTTGTCCTATCATCTCAAATGGACACTTCTGAAGCAGACAAGTTCGCATTGACCATATAAGACGACTTAAAAGCAAATATAAAGCATACAGCTTGCAGAACAAGAAACTTCGACTTCGACTATGTTCACACTGTAACTCTGCAGTCTGAAATCTGACATGCATACAGTTGAAGCAGATACGATTGCAATGACCATATAAAATGACTTTGAAGGGTATATAACGAGAACAATGGGCAAATGAAGATACATCAACTTCATCGTTGTGCACACTATATCTCTCTATCTCATCAACTCACAAGGGAACTATTGGAGCGAACGAGTTCGCACTGCCCATATGAGACGACTTCTGAGCAAGTATAACGCACACAGCTTGCAGAAGGAAAAACTGAACTTGAAGGTTGAACTTGAAGGTTGAACTTGGAGTTTGAGCTTGAAGGTTCAACCTGAAGGTTCTACTCGAAGTTTGAACTTGAAGGTTGAACTCGGAGGTTGAACTCGAAGGTTCAACATGAAGTTTGGGCTTGAAGGTCGAACTCGAAGGTTGAACTTGGAGTTTGAACTTAAAGTGAGACTTGAGTTGAACTTGAAGGTTGTACTTGAAGGTTCAACTTGAATTTTGAACTTGAGGGTTCACCTTGAAGTTTGAGCTTGAAGGTTGAACTTGAAGTTTGAAATTGAAGGTTGAACTTTAAGGTTCAATTCGAAGTTTGAACTTGAGGGATGATCTTGAAGTTTGAACGTGAAGGTAAAACTTGAAGGTTGAACTCGAAGGTTGAACTTGGAGGTTGAACTTGATGTTTGACCTTGAAGGTTGAACTTGAAGGTTCAACTCGAAGTTTGAACTTGAAGGAAGATCTTGAAGAATGAACTTGTAGGTTGAACTTGAAGGTTGAACTTGAAGGTTGAACCTGCAGTTTGAACTTGAAGGTTGAACTTGAAGTTGAACTTGGAGGTTGAACTTGAAGGTTGAACTCGAAGGTTGAATCTGAAGTTTGAACTTGAAGGTTGAACTTGAAGGTTGAACTTGAAGTTGGAACTTGAAGGTTGAACTTGAAGGTTGAAGTTGGAGTTTGAACTTGAAGGTTGGACTTGGAGGTTGAACTTGAAGGTTCAACTTGAGGTTTGAACTTGGAGGTTGAACTTGAAGTTTGAATTTGAAGGTTGAACTTGAAGGTTAAACATGAAGTTTGAACTTCAAGGTTGAACTTGAAGTTTGAACCTGAAATTATACTTGAAGGTTCAACTTGAAGGTTGAACTTGAAGTTTGAACTTGAAGTTGAACTTGAAGGTTGAACTTGAAGGTTGTACTTGGAGGTTTAACTTGGAGTTTGAACGTGAGGTTGAACTTGAAGGTTGAACTTGAAGGTTGAACTTGAAGGTTCAACTTGAAGTTTGAACTTGATGTCTGAACTTGAAGTTTGATCTTGAAGGTTCAACTTGAATGTTCAACTTGAAGTTTGAATTTGAAGTTTGAACTTGAAGGTTGAACATGAAGTTTGAACATCGAGGTTGAACTTGAAAGTTGAACTTGAAGTTTGAACCTGAAGTTATACTTGAAGGTTCAACTTGAAGGTTGAACTCAAATGTTGAACTTGAAGTTTGAACTTGAAGTTATACTTGAAGGTTGAACTTGAAGGTTGTACTTGAAGGTTAAACTTGAAGTTCGAACGTGAGGTTGAACTTGAAGGTTCAACTTGGAGTTCGAACTTGGAGTTTGAACTCGTAGGTTAAACTCGAAGGTTGAACTTAAAGGTTGAACTTGAGGGTTGAACTTGGAGTTTGAACTGGAAGGTTGAACTTGAGGGTTGAACTTGAAGGTTGAACACGGAGTTTTAACTTGAAGTTGAACTCGGAGGTTGAATTTGAAGGTTGAACTTGAAGGTTGAACTAGGAGGTTCAACTTGAAGGTTGACCTTGAAGTTTGAACTCGGAGGTTGGACTTGAAGGTTGAACTTGAAGGTTCAATTCGAAGTTTGAACGTGAAGGTTGAACTCGAAGGTTCAACTCGAAGTTCGAACTTGAAGGTTGAACTCGAAGGTTGAACTTGAAGGTTCAACTTGGAGTTCGAACTTGAATGTCGAACTCGAAGATTGAACTTAAAGTTTGAACTTGGAATTAGACTTGAAGGTTGTACTTGAAGGTTGTACTTGAAGGTTCAACTTGAATTTTGAACTTGAAGGTTCAATTCGAAGGTTGAGCTTGAAGGTTGAACTTGAAGTTTGGACTTGAATGTTGAACTCGAAGTTAAACTTGAACATTGAACTAGAAGGTTACATTCAATGGTTGAACTTGAAGTTTGAACTCGAAGGTTGGACTTGAAGTTTGAACTTGAAGTATGAACTTGAAGTTAAACTCGGAGGTTGAACTTGAAGGTTGAAGTCGAAGGTTGAATTTGGAGTTTGAACTTGAAGGTTGAACGTGAAGGTTGAACTTGAAGTTTGAACTCGAAGGTTGAATTTGAAGGTTGAACTTGAAGGTTCAACTTGAAGTTCAAACTTGAAGGTTGAACTTGAAGGTTGAACTTGGAGTTTGAACTTGAAGATCAAACTTGAAGGTTCTACTCGAAGTTTGAACTTGAAGGTTGAACTCGAAGGTTGAACTTGAAGGTTCAACATGAAGTTTGAGCTTGAAGGTCGAACTCGAAGGTTGAACTTGAAGTTTGAACTTGAAGTGAGACTTGAAGGTTGAACTTGAAGGTTGTACTTGAAGGTTCAACTTCAATTTTGAACTTGAGGGTTCAACTTGAAGTTTGAGCTTGAATGTTGAACTTGAAGTTTGAACATGATGGTTGAACTTTGAGGTTCAACTCGAAGTTTGTACTTGAAGTATGATCTTGAAGTTTGAACTTGAAGGTGGAATTCGAAGGTTGAACTTGAAGGTTGAACTCGAAGGTTGAACTTGGAGGTTGAACTTGATGTTTGACTTCGAAGGTTGAACTTGAAGGTTCAACTCGAAGTTTGAACTTGAAGGAAGATCACGAAGATTGAACTTGTAGGTTGAACTTGAAGGTTGAACCTGCGATTTGAACTTGAAGGTTGAACTTGAAGTTAAACTTGGAGGTTGAACTTGAAGGTTGAACTCAATGGTTGAATCTGACGTCTGAACTTGAAGGTTGAACTTGAAGGTTGAACTTGAAGTTTGAACTTGAAGGTTGAACTTGAAGGTTGAACTTGAAGTTTGAACTTAAAGGTTGGACTTGAAGGTTGAACTTGAAGGTTCGACTTGAAGTTTGAACTTGGAGGTTGAACTCGAAGTTTGATCTTGAAGGTTTAACTTGAAGGTTCAACTTGAAGTTTGAATTTGAAGGTTGAACTTGAAGGTTGAACATGAAGTTTGAATTTGGAGGTTGAACTTGAAGTTTGAACCTGAAATTATACTTGTAGGTTCAACTTGAAGGTTGAACTTGAATGTTGAACTTGGAGTTTGAAATTGAAGTTTGAACTTGAAGTTGAACTTGAAGGTTGAACTTGAAGTTTGAACCTGAAATTATACTTGAAGGTTCAACTCGAAGGTTGAACTTGAATGTTGAACTCGAAGTTTGGACTTGAAAGTTAAACTTGGAGGTTGAATTTGAAGGTTGTACTTGAAATTTTAACTTGAAGTTTGAACGTGAGGTTGAACTTGAAGGTTCAACTTGGAGTTCGAACTTGGAGTTTGAACTCGTAGGTTGAACTTGAAGGTTGAACTTGAAGGTTGAACTTGAGGGTTGAACTTGAAGGTTGATCTTGAAGGTTGAACTCGGAGTTTGAACTTGAAGTTAAACTTGAAGGTTGAACTTGAAGGTTGTACTTGGAGGTTAAACTTGGAGTTTCAACTTGAAGGTTGAACTTGAGGTTCAAACTCGGAGGTTAAACTTGAAGGTTGAACTTGGAAGTTCAATTCGAAAGTTGAACTTGAAGTTTGAAATTGAAGGTTGAACTTCAAGGTTCAACTCGAAGTTTGAACTTGAAGGATGATCTTGAAGTTTGAACGTGGAGGTAAAACTTGAAGGTTGAACTTGAAGGTTGAACTCGAAGGTTGAACTTGGAGGTTGAACTTGATGTTTGACCTTGAATGTTGAACTTGAAGGTTCAACTCGAAGGTTGAACTTGAAGGTTCAACTCGAAGTTTGAACTTGAAGGAAGATCTTGAAGAATGAACTTGTAGGTTGAACTTGAAGGTTGAACTTGAAGGTTGAACCTGCAGTTTGAACTTGAAGGTTGAACTTGAAGTTGAACTTGGAGATTGAACTTGAAGGTTGAACTCGAAGGTTGAATCTGAAGTTTGAACTTGAAGGTTGAACTTGAAGGTTGAACTTGAAGTTGGAACTTGAAGGTTGAACTTGAAGGTTGAACTTGAAGTTTGAACTTGAAGGTTGGACTTGGAGGTTGAACTTGAAGGTTCAGCTTAAGGTTTGAACTTGGAGGTTGAACTTGAAGTTTGATCTCGAAGGTTTAACTTGGAGGTTCAACTTGAAGTTTGAATTTGAAGGTTGAACTTGAAGGTTGAACATGAAGTTTGAACTTCAAGGTTGAACTTGAAGTTTGAACCTGAAATTATACTTGAAGGTTCAACTCGAAGGTTAAACTTGGATGTTGAACTTGAAGTTTGTACTTGGAGGTTTAACTTGGAGGTTGAAAGTGAGGTTGAACTTGAAGGTCGAACTTGAAGGTTCAACTTGGAGTTTGAACTTGATGTCTGAACTTGAAGTTTGATTTTGAAGGTTCAACTTGAATGTTCAATTCGAAGTATGAATTTGAAGGTTGAACTTGAAGGTTGAACTTGAAGGTTGAACTCGAAGGTTGAACTTGGAGGTTGAGCTTGATGTTTGACTTCGAAGGTTGAACTTGAAGGTTCAACTCGAAGTTTGAACTTGAAGGAATATCACGAAGATTGAACTTGTAGGTTGAACTTGAAGGTTGAACCTGCGATTTGAACTTGAAGGTTGAACTTGAAGTTAAACTTGGAGGTTGAACTTGAAGGTTGAACTCAAAGGTTGAATCTGACGTCTGAACTTGAAGGTTGAACTTGAAGGTTGAACTTGAAGTTTGAACTTGAAGGTTGAACTTGAAGGTTGAACTTGAAGTTTGAACTTGACGGTTGGACTTGAAGGTTGAACTTGAAGGTTCGACTTGAAGTTTGAACTTGGAGGTTGAACTCGAAGTTTGATCTTGAAGGTTTAACTTGAAGGTTCAACTTGAAGTTTGAATTTGAAGGTTGAACTTGAAGGTTGAACATGAAGTTTAAATTTGGAGGTTGAACTTGAAGTTTGAACCTGAAATTATACTTGAAGGTTCAACTTGAAGGTTGAACTTGAATGTTGAACTTGGAGTTTGAACTTGAAGTTTGAACTTGAAGTTGAACTTGAAGGTTGAACTTGAAGTTTGAACCTGAAATTATACTTGAAGGTTCAACTCGGAGGTTGAACTTGAATGTTGAACTCGAAATTTGGACTTGAAGTTAAACTTGGAGGTTGAATTTGAAGGTTGTACTTGAAATTTTAACTTGAAGTTTGAACGTGAGGTTGAACTTGAAGGTTCAACTTGGAGTTCGAACTTGGAGTTTGAACTCGTAGGTTGAACTTGAAGGTTGAACTTGAAGGTTGAACTTGAGGGTTGAACTTGAAGGTTGATCTTGAAGGTTGAACTCGGAGTTTGAACTTGAAGTTAAACTTGAAGGTTGAACTTGAAGGTTGTACTTGGAGGTTAAACTTGGAGTTTCAACTTGAAGGTTGAACTTGAGGTCTAAACTCGGAGGTTTAACTTGAAGGTTGAACTTGGAAGTTCAATTCGAAAGTTGAACTCGAAGTTTGAAATTGAAGGTTGAACTTTGAGGTTCAACTCGAAGTTTGAACTTGAAGGATGATCTTGAAGTCCGAACGTGGAGGTAAAACTTGAAGGTTGACCTTGAAGGTTGAACTCGAAGGTTGAACTTGGAGGTTGAACTTGATGTTTGACCTTGAATGTTGAACTTGAAGGTTCAACTCGAAGGTTGAACTTGAAGGTTCAACTCGAAGTTTGAACTTGAAGGAAGATCTTGAAGAATGAACTTGTAGGTTGAACTTGGAGGTTGAACTTGAAGGTTGAACCTGCAGTTTGAACTTGAAGGTTGAACTTGAAGTTGAACTTGGAGATTGAACTTGAAGGTTGAACTCGAAGGTTGAATCTGAAGTTTGAACTTGAAGGTTGAACTTGAAGGTTGAACTTGAAGTTGGAACTTGAAGGTTGAACTTGAAGGTTGAACTTGAAGTTTGAACTTGAAGGTTGGACTTGGAGGTTGAACTTGAAGGTTCAACTTAAGGTTTGAACTTGGAGGTTGAACTTGAAGTTTGATCTCGAAGGTTTAACTTGGAGGTTCAACTTGAAGTTTGAATTTGAAGGTTGAACTTGGAGGTTGAACATGAAGTTTGAACTTCAAGGTTGAACTTGAAGTTTGATCTCGAAGGTTTAACTTGGAGGTTCAACTTGAAGTTTGAATTTGAAGGTTGAACTTGGAGGTTGAACATGAAGTTTGAACTTCAAGGTTCAACTTGAAGGTTAAACTTGGATGTTGAACTTGAAGTTTGTACTTGGAGGTTCAACTTGGAGTTTGAACGTGAGGTTGAACTTGAAGGTTGAACTTGAAGGTTCAACTTGGAGTTTGAACTTGATGTCTGAACTTGAAGTTTGATCTTGAAGGTTCAACTTGAATGTTCAACTTGAAGTATGAATTTGAAGGTTGAACTTGAAGGTTGAACATGAAGTTTGAACATCGAGATTGAACTTGAAGGTTGAACTTGAAGTTTGAACCTGAAGTTATACTTGAAGGTTCAACTTGAAGGTTGAACTCGAATGTTGAACTTGAAGTTTGAACTTGAAGTTATACTTGAAGGTTGAACTTGAAGGTTGTACTTGAAGGTTAAACTTGAAGTTCGAACGTGAGGTTGAACTTGAAGGTTCAACTTGAAGTTCGAACTTGGAGTTTGAACTCGTAGGTTAAACTCGAAGGTTGAACTTAAAGGTTGAACTTGAGGGTTGAACTTGGAGTTTGAACTGGAAGGTTGAACTTGAGGGTTGAACTTGAAGGTTGAACACGGAGTTTTTACTCGAAGTTGAACTCGGAGGTTGAACTTGAAGGTCGAACTTGAAGGTTGAACTAGGAGGTTCAACTTGAAGGTTGAACTTGAAGGTTGTACTAGGAGGTTCAACTCCAAGTTTCAACTTGAAGGTTGAACTTGAAGTTTGAACTCAGAGGTTGGACTTGAAGGTTGAACTTGAAGGTTCAATTCGAAGTTTGAACGTGAAGGTTGAAGTTGAAGGTTCAACTCGAAGTTCGAACTTGAAGGTTGAATTCGAAGGTTGAACTTGAAGGTTCAACTTGGAGTTCGAACTTGAAGGTCGAACTCGAAGATTGAACTTGAAGTTTGAACTTGAAATTAGACTTGAAGGTTGTACTCGAAGGTTGTACTTGAAGGTTCAACTTGAATTTTGAACTTGAAGGTTCAACTCGAAGTTTGAGCTTGAAGGTTGAACTTGGAGTTTGGACTTGAATGTTGAACTCGATGTTGAACTTGAAGATTGAACTAGAAGGTTACATTCAATGGTTGAACTTGAAAATTGAACTTGAAGGTTGGACTTGAAAGTTGAACTTGAAGTATGAACTTGGAGTTAAACTCGGAGGTTGAACTTGAAGGTTGAACTCAAAGGTTGAATTTGGAGTTTGAACTCGAAGGTTGAACTTGAAGGTTGAACTTGAAGTTTGAACTCGAAGGTTGAATTTGAAGGTTGAACTTGAAGGTTCAACTTGAAGGTTCTATTCGAAGTTTGAACTTGAAGGTTGAACTCGAAGGTTGAACTTGAGGGTTTAACTTGGAGTTTGAACGTGAGGTTGGACTTGAAGGATGAACTTGAAGGTTCAACTTGAAGTTTGAACTTGATGTCTGAACTTGAAGTTTGATCTTGTAGGTTCAACTTGAAGGTTCAGCTTGAAGTTTGAATTTGAAGGTTGAACTTGAAGGTTGAACATGAAGTTTGAACCTGAAGTTATACTTGCAGGTTCAACTTGAAGGTTGAACTTGAATGTAGAACTTGAAGTTCGAACTTGAAGTTATACTTGAAGGTTGAACTTGAAGGTTGAACTTGGAGGTTGTACTTGAAGGTTTAACTTGGAGTTCGGACTTGGAGTTTGAACTTGTAGGTTAAACTCAGAGGTTGAACTCAAAGGTTGAACTTGAGGGTTGAACTTGAAGGTTGAACACGGAGTTTCAACTTGAAGTTGAACTTGAAGGTTGTACTAGGAGGTTCAACTCGAAGTTTCAACTTGAAGGTTGAACTTGAAGTTTGAACTCGGAGGTTGAACTCGAAGGTTGAACTTGAAGGTTCAATTCGAAAGTTGAATTCGAAGTATGAACGTGAAGGTTGAACTTGAAGGTTCAACTTGAAGTTTGAACTTGAAGGTTGAACTCGGAGGTTGAACTTGAAGGTTCAACTTGGAGTTTGAACTTGAAGGTCGAACTCGAAGGTTGAACTTGAAGTTCGAACTTGAAGTTAGACTTGAAGGTTGAACTTGAACGTTGTACTTGAAGGTTCAGCTTGAATTTTGAACTTGAAGGTTCAACTTGAAGTTTGAGCTTGAAGGTTGAACTTGAAGTTTGGACTTGAATGTTGAACTTGAAGTTAAACTTGAAGATTGAACTAGAAGGTTACATTCAATGGTTGAACTTGAAGTTTGAACTCGAAGGTTGGACTTGAAGTTTGAACTTGAAGTATGAACTTGAAGTTGAACTCGGAGGTTGAACTTGAAGGTTGAACTTAAAGGTTGAATTTGGAGTTTGAACTTGAAGGTTGAACTTGAAGGTTGAACTTGAAGTTTGAACTCGAAGGTTGAATTTGAAGGTTGATTTTGAAGGTTCAACTTGAAGTTCAAACTTGAAGGTTGAACTTGAAGGTTGAACTTGGAGTTTGAGCTTGAAGATGAAACTTGAAGGTTCTACTCGAAGTTTGAACTTGAAGGTTGAACTCGAAGGTTGAACTTGAAGGTTCAACATGAAGTTTGAGCTTGAAGGTCGAACTCGAAGGTTGAACTTGAAGTTCGAACTTGAAGTGAGACTCGAAGGTTGAACTTGAAGGTTGTACTTGAAGGTTCAACTTTAATTTTGAACTTGAGGGTTCAACTTGAAGTTTGAGCTTGAATGTTGAACTTGAAGTTTGAACATGAAGGTTGAACTTTGAGGTTCAACTCGAAGTTTGAACTTGAAGTATGATCTTGAAGTTCAAACTTGAAGGTGGAGTTCGAAGGTTGAACTTGAAGGTTGAACTCGAAGGTTGAACTTGGAGGTTGAACTTGATGTTTGACTTCGAAGGTTGAACTTGAAGGTTCAACTCGAAGTTTGAACTTGAAGGAAGATCTTGAAGATTGAACTTGTAGGTTGAACTTGAAGGTTGAACCTGCGATTTGAACTTGAAGGTTGAACTTGAAGTTAAACTTGAAGGTTGAACTTGAAGGTTGAACTCAAAGGTTGAATCTGACGTCTGAACTTGAAGGTTGAACTTGAAGGTTGAACTTGAAGTTTGAACTTGAAGGTTGAACTTGAAGGTTGAACTTGAAGTTTGAACTTGAAGGTTGGACTTGGAGGTTGAACTTGAAGGTTCAACTTGAAGTTTGAACTTGGAGGTTGAACTCGAAGTTTGATCTTGAAGGTTCAACTTGAAGGTTCAACTTGAAGTTTGAATTTGAAGGTTGAACTTGAAGGTTGAACATGAAGTTTGAACTTGGAGGTTGAACTTGAAGTTTGAACCTGAAATTATACTTGAAGGTTCAACTTGAAGGTTGAACTTGAATGTTGAACTTGAAGTTTGAACTTGAAGTTTGAACTTGAAGTTGAACTTGAAGGTTGAACTTGAAGTTTGAACCTGAAATTATACTTGAAGGTTCAACTCGAAGGTTGAACTTGAATGTTGAACTCGAAGTTTGGACTTGAAGTTGAACTTGGAGGTTGAATTTGAAGGTTGTACTTGAAATTTTAACTTGAAGTTTGAACGTGAGGTTGAACTTGAAGGTTCAACTTGGAGATCGGACTTAGAGTTCGAACTCGTAGGTTGAACTTGAAGGTTGAACTTGAAGGTTGAACTTGAGGGTTGAACTTGGAGTTTGAACTTGAAGGTTGAACTTGAAGTTTGAACTTGAAGGTTGAACTCGGAGGTTGAACTTGAAAGTTCAACTTGGAGTTTGAACTTGAAGGTCGAACTCGAAGGTTGAACTTGAAGTTTGAACTTGAAGTTAGACTTGAAGGTTGAACTTGAACGTTGTACTTGAAGGTTCAGCTTGAATTTTGAACTTGAAGGTTCAACTTGAAGTTTGAGCTTGAAGGTTGAACTTGAAGTTTGGACTTGAATGTTGAACTTGAAGTTAAACTTGAAGATTGAACTAGAAGGTTTCATTCAATGGTTGGACTTGAAGTTTGAACTCGAAGGTTGGACTTGAAGTTTGAACTTGGAGTATGAACTTGAAGTTAAACTCGGAGGTTGAACTCAAAGGTTGAATTTGGAGTTTGAACTTGAAGGTTGAACTTGAAGGTCGAACTTGAAGTTTGAACTCGAAGGTTGAATTTGAAGGTTGAACTTGAAGGTTCAACTTGAAGTTCAAACTTGAAGGTTGAACTTGAAGGTTGAACTTGGAGTTTGAGCTTGAAGATCAAACTTGAAGGTTCTACTCGAAGTTTGAACTCGAAGGTTGAACTCGAAGGTTGAACTTGGAGGTTCAACATGAAGTTTGAGCTTGAAGGTCGAACTCGAAGGTTGAACTTGAAGTTTGAACTTGAAGTGAGACTTGAAGGTTGAACTTGAAGGTTGTACTTGAAGGTTCAACTTTAATTTTGAACTTGAGGGTTCAACTTGAAGTTTGAGCTTGAATGTTGAACTCGAAGTTTGAACATGAAGGTTGAACTTTGAGGTTCAACTCGAAGTTTGAACTCGAAGTATGATCTTGAAGTTCAAACTTGAAGGTGGAATTCGAAGGTTGAACTCGGAGGTTGAACTCGAAGGTTGAGTTTGGAGGTTGAACTTGATGTTCGACTTCGAAGGTTGAACTTGAAGGTTCAACTCGAAGTTTGAACTTGAAGGAAGATCTTGAAGATTGAACTTGTAGGTTGAACTTGAAGGTTGAACCTGCGATTTGAACTTGAAGGTTGAACTTGAAGTTAAACTTGGAGGTTGAACTTGAAGGTTGAACTCAAAGGTTGAATCTGACGTCTGAACTTGAAGGTTGAATTCGAAGGTTGAACTTGAAGTTTGAACTTGAAGGTTGAACTTGAAGGTTGAACTTGAAGTTTGAACTTGAAGGTTGGACTTGGAGGTTGAACTTGAAGGTTCAACTTGAAGTTTGAACTTGGAGGTTGAACTCGAAGTTTGATCTTGAAGGTTCAACTTGAAGGTTCAACTTGAAGTTTGAATTTGAAGGTTGAACTTGAAGGTTGAACATGAAGTTTGAACTTGGAGGTTGAACTCGAAGTTTGAACCTGAAATTATACTTGAAGGTTCAACTTGAAGGTTGAACTTGAATGTTGAACTTGAAGTTTGAACTTGAAGTTTGAACTTGAAGTTTGAACCTGAAATTATACTCGAAGGTTCAACTCGAAGGTTGAACTTGAATGTTGAACTCGAAGTTTGGACTTGAAGTTAAACTTGGAGGTTGAATTTGAAGGTTGTACTTGAAATTTTGACTTGAAGTTTGAACGTGAGGTTGAACTTGAAGGTTCAACTTGGAGATCGAACTTAGAGTTCGAACTCGTAGGTTGAACTTAAAGGTTGAACTTGAAGGTTGAACTTGAGGGTTGAACTTGAAGTTTGAACTTGAAGGTTGAACTTGAAGGTTGATCTTGAAGGTTGAACTCGGAGTTTGAACTTGAAGTTGAACTTGAAGGTTGAACTTGAAGGTTGTACTCGGAGGTTTAACTTGGAGTTTCAACTTGAAGGTTGAACTTGAGGTTCAAACTCGGAGGTTAAACTTGAAGGTTGAACTTGGAAGTTCAATTCGAAAGTTGAATTTGGAGTTCGAACGTGAAGGTTGAACTTGAAGGTTCAACTTGAAGTTTGGACTTGAAGGTTGAACTTGAAGGTTGAACTTGAAAGTTGAACTTGAAGGTTCAACTTGAAGTTTGAACTTGAAGGTCGAACTCGAAGGTTGAACTTGAAGTTCGAACTCGGAATTAGACTTGAAGGGTGAACTTGAAGGTTGTACTTGAAGGTTCGACTTGAATTTTGAACTTGAAGTTTGAGCTTGAAGGTTGAACTTGAGGGTTGAACTTGAAGTTTGAACTGGAATGTTGAAGTTGAAGGTTGATTTTGAAGGTTGAACTCGGGTTTTGAACTCAAAGTTGAACTCGAAGGTTGAACTTGAAGGTTGTACTTGGAGGTTCAACATGGATTTTCAACTTGAAGGTTGAACTTGAAGTTTGAACTTGAAGTTTGAACTCGAAATTAGACTTGAAGGGTGAACTTGAAGGTAGTACTTGGAGGTTCAACTTGAATTTTGAACTTGGAGTTCTAACTTGGAGTTTGAACTCGAAGGTTGAACTGAAAGGTTGAACTTGAAGGTTAAACTCGAGGGTTGACCTTGAAGTTTGAACTTGAAGGTTGAACTTGAAGGTTGATCTTGAAGGTTGAACTCGGAGTTCGAACTCAAAGTTAATTTTGAAGGTTGATTTTGAAGGTTGTACTTGGAGGTTCAACTTGGAGTTTTAACTTGAAGGTTGAACTTGAAGTTTGAACTCGGAGTTTGAACATGAAGGTTGAACTTGAAAGTTCAATTCGAAAGTTGAATTTGGAGTTTGAACTTAAAGGTTGAACTTGAAGGTTGAACTTGAAGGTTCAACTTGAAGTTTGGACTTGAAGGTTGAACTTGAAGGTTAAATTTAAAGGTTCAACTTGAAGTTTGAACTTGAAGGTCGAACTCGAAGGTTGAACTTGAAGTTTGAACTCGAAATTGAACTTGAAGGGTGAACTTGAAGGTTGTACTCGAAGGTTCAACTTGAATTTTGAACTTGAAGGTTCAACTTGAAGTTTGAGCTTGAAAGTTGAACTTGAAGTTTGAGCTCGAAGGTTGAACTTGAAGTTTGAACTTGAATGTTGAACCTGAAGTTGAACTTGAAGGTTGAACTAGAAGGTTACATCCGATGGTTGAACTTGGAGGTTGAACTTGAAGTTTGAACTTGAAGTTTGAACTTGAAGGTTGAACCTGAAGGTTGAACTCAAAGTTTGAACTCGAAGGTTGTATTTGAAGGTTGAACTTGAAGGTTCGTCTCGAAGGTTGAACTTGGAGGTTGAACTTGAAGGTTGAACTAGAAGTTTCAACTTGAAGTATGAACGTGAGGTTTAACATGAAGGTTTAACTTGAAGTTTGGACTTGAAGGATGAACTTGAAGTTTGAACTTGAAGTTAAACATGGAGATTTTACATGAAGGTTCGACTTGAAGATTGTACTTGTAGGTTGAACTCGATGGTTGAACTTGAAGTTTGACCTTGACTGTTTGACTCGAAGGTTGAACTTGGAGGTTCAACTCGGAGTTTGAACTTGAGGGCTGAACTCGAAGGTTGAACTCGAAGTTCGAACTTGAAGGTTCAACTTGAAGTTTCAACTTGAAGTTTGAACTTGGAGGTTGAGATTGGAGGTTCAACTTGAAGAATCAACTTGTAGTTTGAACTTGTAGATTGAACTTGAAGGTTGAACTTGAAGGTTGAACCTGCAGTTTGAACTTGAAGGTTGAACTCGAAGTTGAACTTGGAGGTTGGACTTGAAGGTTGAACTCAAAGGTTGAATTTGGAGTTTGAACTTGAAGGTTGAACTTGGAGGTTGAACTTGAAGTTCGAACTTGAAGGTTGAACTTGAAGGTTGAACTCAAAGGTTGAATTTGGAGTTCGAACTCGAAGGTTGAACTTGGAGGTTGAACTTGAAGGTTGAACTTGAAGGTTGAACCTGCAGTTTGAACTTGAAGGTTGAACTCGAAGTTAAACTTGGAGGTTGAACTCAATGGTTGGACTTGGAGTTTGAACTTGAAGGTTGAACTTGGAGGTTGAACTTGGAGTTTGAACTTGAAGGTTGAGATTGAAGGTTCAACTTGAATGTTCAACTTGAAGTTTGAACTTGTTGGTTGAACTTGAAGGTTGAACTTGAAGGTTGAACCTGCAGTTTGAGCTTGAAGGTTGAACTTGAAGTTAAACTTGGAGGTTGAACTTGAAGGTTGAACTCAAAGGTTGAATTTGGAGTTTGAATTTGAAGGTTGAACTTGGAGGTTGATCTTGAAGTTTGAACTTGAAGGTTGAACTTGAAGGTTGAAATCAAAGGTTGAATTTGGACTTTGAACTTGAAGGTTGAACTCGGAGGTTGAACTTGAAGTTTGAACTTGAAGGTTGAACTTGAAGGTTGAACTTGAAGTTTGAACCTGGAGTTATACTTGAAGGTTCAACTTGAAGGTTGAACTTGAATGTTGAACTTGAAGGTTGAACTTGAAGGTTGAAATCAAAGGTTGAATTTGGACTTTGAACTTGAAGGTTGAACTCGGAGGTTGAACTTGAAGTTTGAACTTGAAGGTTGAACTTGAAGGTTGAACTTGAAGTTTGAACCTGGAGTTATACTTGAAGGTTCAACTTGAAGGTTGAACTTGAATGTTGAACTTGAAGTTTGAACTTGAAGTCATACTTGAAGGTTGAAATTAAAGGTTGTACTTGAAGGTTAAACTTGAAGTTTGGACTTGAAGGATGAACTTGAAGTTTGAACTTGAAGTTAAACATGGAGATTTTACATGAAGGTTCGACTTGAAGATTGTACTTGTAGGTTGAACTCGATGGTTGAACTTGAAGTTTGACCTTGACTGTTTGACTCGAAGGTTGAACTTGGAGGTTCAACTCGAAGTTTGAACTTGAGGGCTGAACTCGAAGGTTGAACTCGAAGTTCGAACTTGAAGGTTCAACTTGAAGAATCAACTTGTAGTTTGAACTTGTAGATTGAACTTGAAGGTTGAACTTGAAGGTTGAACCTGCAGTTTGAACTTGAAGGTTGAACTCGAAGTTAAACTTGGAGGTTGGACTTGAAGGTTGAACTCAAAGGTTGACTTTGGAGTTTGAACTTGAAGGTTGAACTTGGAGGTTGAACTTGAAGTTTGAACTTGAAGGTTGAACTTGAAGGTTGAACTCAAAGGTTGAATTTGGAGTTCGAACTCGAAGGTTGAACTTGGAGGTTGAACTTGAAGGTTGAACTTGAAGGTTGAACCTGCAGTTTGAACTTGAAGGTTGAACTCGAAGTTAAACTTGGAGGTTGAACTCAATGGTTGGACTTGGAGTTTGAACTTGAAGGTTGAACTTGGAGGTTGAACTTGGAGTTTGAACTTGAAGGTTGAGATTGAAGGTTCAACTTGAATGTTCAACTTGAAGTTTGAACTTGTTGGTTGAACTTGAAGGTTGAACTTGAAGGTTGAACCTGCAGTTTGAGCTTGAAGGTTGAACTTGAAGTTTGAACTTGAAGGTTGAACTTGAAGGTTGAAATCAAAGGTTGAATTTGGATTTTGAACTTGAAGGTTGAACTCGGAGGTTGAACTTGAAGTTTGAACTTGAAGGTTGAACTTGAAGGTTGAACTTGAAGTTTGAACCTGGAGTTATACTTGAAGGTTCAACTTGAAGGTTGAACTTGAATGTTGAACTTGAAGTTTGAACTTGAAGTTATACTTGAAGGTTGAAATTAAAGGTTGTACTTGAAGGTTAAACTTGAAGTGCGAACGTGAGGTTGAACTTGAAGGTTCAACTTGGAGTTCGAACTTGGACTTTGAACTCGTAGGTTGAACTCAAAGGTTGAACTTGAAGGTTGAACTTTAGGGTTGAACTTGGAGTTTAAACTTGAAGGTTGAACTTGAAGGTTGAACACGGAGTTTTAACTTGAAGTTGAACTTGGAGGTTCAACTTGAAGGTTGAACTTGAAGGTTGTACTAGGAGGTTCAACTCGAAGTTTCAACTTGAAGGTTGAACTTGAAGTTTGAACTTGGAGGTTGAACTTGAAGGTTGAACTTGAAGGTTCAATTCGAAACTTGAATTCGAAGTTTGAACGTGTAGGTTGAACTTGAAGGTTCAATTCGAAGTTTGAACTTGAGGGCTGAACTCGAAGGTTGAACTCGAAGTTCGAACTTGAAGGTTCAACTTGAAGTTTCAACTTGAAGTTTGAACTTGGAGGTTGAGATTGGAGGTTCAACTTGAAGAATCAACTTGTAGTTTGAACTTGTAGATTGAACTTGAAGGTTGAACTTGAAGGTTGAACCTGCAGTTTGAACTTGAAGGTTGAACTCGAAGTTAAACTTGGAGGTTGGACTTGAAGGTTGAACTCAAAGGTTGACTTTGGAGTTTGAACTTGAAGGTTGAACTTGGAGGTTGAACTTGAAGTTTGAACTTGAAGGTTGAACTTGAAGGTTGAACTCAAAGGTTGAATTTGGAGTTCGAACTCGAAGGTTGAACTTGGAGGTTGAACTTGAAGGTTGAACTTGAAGGTTGAACCTGCAGTTTGAACTTGAAGGTTGAACTCGAAGTTAAACTTGGAGGTTGAACTCAATGGTTGGACTTGGAGTTTGAACTTGAAGGTTGAACTTGGAGGTTGAACTTGGAGTTTGAACTTGAAGGTTGAGATTGAAGGTTCAACTTGAATGTTCAACTTGAAGTTTGAACTTGTTGGTTGAACTTGAAGGTTGAACTTGAAGGTTGAACCTGCAGTTTGAGCTTGAAGGTTGAACTTGAAGTTTGAACTTGAAGGTTGAACTTGAAGGTTGAAATCAAAGGTTGAATTTGGATTTTGAACTTGAAGGTTGAACTCGGAGGTTGAACTTGAAGTTTGAACTTGAAGGTTGAACTTGAAGGTTGAACTTGAAGTTTGAACCTGGAGTTATACTTGAAGGTTCAACTTGAAGGTTGAACTTGAATGTTGAACTTGAAGTTTGAACTTGAAGTTATACTTGAAGGTTGAAATTAAAGGTTGTACTTGAAGGTTAAACTTGAAGTGCGAACGTGAGGTTGAACTTGAAGGTTCAACTTGGAGTTCGAACTTGGACTTTGAACTCGTAGGTTGAACTCAAAGGTTGAACTTGAAGGTTGAACTTTAGGGTTGAACTTGGAGTTTAAACTTGAAGGTTGAACTTGAAGGTTGAACACGGAGTTTTAACTTGAAGTTGAACTTGGAGGTTCAACTTGAAGGTTGAACTTGAAGGTTGTACTAGGAGGTTCAACTCGAAGTTTCAACTTGAAGGTTGAACTTGAAGTTTGAACTTGGAGGTTGAACTTGAAGGTTGAACTTGAAGGTTCAATTCGAAACTTGAATTCGAAGTTTGAACGTGTAGGTTGAACTTGAAGGTTCAATTCGAAGTTTGAACTTGAAGGTTGAACTCGAAGGTTGAACTTGAAGGTTCAATTTGGAGTTTGAACTTGAAGGTCGAACTCGAAGGTTGAACTTGAAGTTTGAACTTGAAGTCAGACTTGAAGGTTGAACTTGAAGGTTGTACTTGAAGGTTCAACTTGAAGTTTGAATTTGAAGGTTGAACTTGAAGGTTGAACATGAAGTTTGAACTTTGAGGTTGAACTTGAAGGTTGAACTTGAAGTTTGAACCTGAAGTTATACTTGAAGGTTCAACTTGAAGGTTGAACTTGGATGTTGAACTTGAAGTTTGAACTTGGAGTTATACTTGAAGGTTGAACTTAAAGGTTGTACTTGAAGGTTAAACTTGAAATTCGAACGTGAGGTCGAACTTGAAGGTTCAACTTGGAGTTCGAACTTGGAGTTTGAACTCGTATGTTAAACTCGAAGGTTGAACTTAAAGGTTGAACTTAAGGGTTGAACTTGGAGTTTGAACTTGAAGGTTGAACTTGAAGGTTGAACACGGAGTTTTAACTAGAAGTTGAACTTGGAGGTTGAACTTGAAGGTTGAACTAGGAGGTTCAACTTGAAGGTTGAACTTGAAGGTTGTACTAGGAGGTTCAACTCGAAGTTTCAACTTGAAGGTTGAACTTGAAGTTTGAACTTGGAGGTTGAACTTGATGGTTCAATCCGAAACTTGAATTCAAAGTTTGAACGTGTAGGTTGAACTTGAAGGTTCAATTCGAAGTTTGAACTTGAAGGTTCAACTCGAAGGTTGAACTTGAAGGTTCAATTTGGTGTTTGAACTTGAAGGTCGAACTCGAAGGTTGAACTTGAAGTTTGAACATGAAGTCAGACTTGAAGGTTAAACTTGAAGGTTGTACTTGAAGGTTCAACTTGAATTCTGAACTTGAAGGTTCAACTTCGAGTTCAAACTCCAAGTTCAACCCTCAAGTTGAACCTTAACGTTCAACCTTTGAGTTTAACCTACGAGTTCAAACTCCAAGTTCGAACTCCAAGTTGAACCTTCAAGTTCAACCTCACGTTCGAACTTCAAGTTTAACCTTCAAGTACAACCTTCAAGTTCAACCTTCAAATATAACTTAAAGTTCCAACTTCAAGTTCAACATTCAAGTTCAACCTTCAAGTTGAACCTTCAAGTATAACTTCAGGTTCGAACTTCAAGTTCAACCTTCAAGTTCAACCTCTGAGTTCAAACTTCATGTTCAACCTTCAAGTTGAACCTTCAAATTCAAACTTCAAGTTGAACCTTCAAGTTGAACCTTCAAGATCAAACTTCAAGTTCAGACATCAAGTTCAAACTTCAAGTTGAACCTTCAAGTTCAACCTTCAAATTCAACCTTCATGTTCAAACTTCAAGTTCAACCTCCAAGTTCAACCTTTGAGTTCAACCTTTAAGTTCAACCTTCAAGTTCAAACTTCAAGTTCAACCTACAAGTTCAACCTTCAAGTTCAAACTCCAAATTCAACCTTTGAATTCAACCTTCAAGTTCAACCTCCAAGTTTAACTTCAAGTTCAACCTTCAAGCTCAAACTGCGGGTTCAACCTTCGAATTCAACCTTCAAGTTCAACCAACAAGTTCAAACTTCAAGTTGAACCTTCAAGTTGAACCTTCAATCTCGACCTCCAAGTTCAAACTTCATGTTTAACCTCCAAGTTCAACCTTCAAGTTCAATCTCCAAGTTCAACCTTTGAGTTCAACCTTCAAGTTCAACTTCCAAGTTCAACTTCAAGTTCATTCTTCAAGTTCAAACTGCAGGTTCAACCTTCAAGTTCAAACTTCAAGTTCAACCTTCAAGTTCAACCTTCAAGTTCAACCTCCAAGTTCAACCTTCGAGTTCGAACTTCAAATTCAACCTTTGAGTTCAACCTTCAAGTTCAACCTCCAAGTTCAACCATTGAGTTCAACCTTCAAGTTCAACCTCCAAGTTCAACTTCAAGTTCAACCTTCAAGTTCAAACTGCAGGTTCAACCTTCAAGTTCAACCTTCAAGTTCAACCTACAAGTTCAAACTTCAAGTTGATTCTTCAAGTTGAACCTTCAATCTCAACCTCCAAGTTCAAACTTCAAGTTGAACGTTCAAATTGAACCTCCAAGATCCAATTTCAAGTTCATACTTCAAGTTGAACCTTCGAGTTCAACCTTCAAATTCAAACTTCAAGTCGAACCTTCAAGTTGAACCTTCAAGTTCAACCTTCGAGTTCAACCTTCATGTTCAAACTTCGAGTTGAACCTTCAAGTTTAACTTCCGAGTTCAAACTTCAAGTTCAACCTTCAAGTTGAAACTTCAAGTTGAACCTCCTATTACAACCTTCGAGTTCAACCTTCAAGTTTAACTTCAAGTTCAAACTCCGTGTTCAACCTTCAAGTTCAACCTTCGAGTTCAACATTCAAGTTCAACCTTCAAGTTCAAACTTCAAGTTCAACCCTCAAGTTCAACCTTCAAGTTCAACCTTTGAGTTTAACCTACGAGTTCAAACTCCGAGTTAGAACTCCAAGTTGAACCTTCAAGTTCAACCTCACGTTCGAACTTCAAGTTAAACCTTCAAGTACAACCTTCAAGTTCAACCTTCAAGTATAACTTCAAGTTCAACATTCAAGTTCAACCTTCAAGTTGAACCTTTAAGTAAAACTTCAGGTTCAAACTTCGAGTTCAACCTTCAGGTTCAACCTCTAAGTTCAAATTTTATGTTCAACCTTCAAGTTCAACCTTCGAATTCAAACTTCTAGTTGAACCTCCAAGTTGAACCTTCAAGATCGAATTTAGATATAGTGTGCACAACGATGAAGTCCATGTATCTTCATTTGCCCATTGTACCCGTTATAATTCCTTCAATTCGATCTTATACGATCACTGCAATATTTTCTGCATCAACTGTATGCATGTCAGATACAAGACTGCAGAGGTACAGTAAAAAACATAGTCGAAGTCGAAATTTTTTGTTCTGCAAGTTGTGTGCGTTATACCCGCTCATGAGTCGTCTCATATGGGCATTGCGAACTCGTCTGCATCGATAGTATCCATGTGAGATGATAGGATATAGAGCCAGAGTGTGTACTATGATAAAGTCGATGTATCTCCATCTGCCTATTGTACTTTCTATAAACCTTCCAAAGTCGTCTTATATGGTCACTGCGATCATATCTGCTTCAACTGTATGCATGTCAGATGCTAGACTGCAGAATGACAGTGTGAACATAGTCGACGTCGAAGTTTCTTGTTCTGCAAATTGTGTGCGTAAACCTGCTCAAAAGTCGTCTCATATGGGCATTGGGAACTAGTTCGCTTCAATAGTATCCAAATGAGATTATACGATAAAGAGATAGAGGGTGCACAGCGATGAAGTCGATGTGACTTCATTTGCCTATTTAACTCGTTATATACCCTGCAGAGTCGTCTCATACGGAAACTGCCATCGTATCTGCTTCAACTGTATGCATGTCAGATGCTTGACGGCAGAGTTACAGTGAAAACATAGCCAAAGTCGAGATTTCTTGTTCTGCAAACTGTGTGCGTTATTTCCGCTTGGGAGTCGTCTTATATGGTCAATGCAAACTGGTCTGCTCCAATAGTGTCCATGTGATATGATAGGATAGAGAGATATAGTGAGTACGACGATGAAGTCGATGTATCCCCATTTGCCTGTTGCACTCGTAATATACCCTTCAGAGTCGTCTCATACGGTCACTGCCATCGTTTCTTCTACAACTGTATGCATGTCAGATGCTTGACGGCAGAGTTACAGTGTAAACATAGTCGAAGTCGAAGTTTCTCGTTGTGCAAGTTGTGTGCGTTATATCGCTCGGAAGTCATCTCATATGGGCATCGCGAACTCGTCTGCTTCAATGATATCCATGTGGGATGATAGGATAGAGAGATAGAGTGCGCACAACGATGAATTCGATGTATCTTCATGTGCCTATTGTACTTACTATATTCCCATCAGAGTCATCTTATATGATCACTACGATCATATCTGCTTCAATTGTATGCATGTAAGATGCTAGACTGCAGAATGACAGTGTGAACATAGTCGACGTCGAAGTTTCTTGTTCTGCAAGCTGTGTGCGTTATACCTGCCTGAAAGTCGTCTTGTTTGGTCAATGCGAACTTGTCTGCTTCGATAGTGTCCATGTGAGAGATAGGGTAGAGATATATAGTGTGTACGACGATGAAGTCGATGTATCCCCAATTGCCTAATGTACTCGTTATATTGCCTTTAAAGTCATCTCATACGGTCACTGCCATCATATCTGCTCAACTGTATGCATGTCAGATGCTAGACTGCAGAGATACATTGTTAACATAGCCAAAGTCGAGATTTCTTGTTCTGCAACCTCAGTGCGTTATTTCCGCTTGGGGGTCTCCTTATATGGTCAATGCGAACATGTCTGCCTCGATAGTGTGCATGTGAGGTGATAGGATAGACCTATATAGTGTGTACGACGATGAAGTCGATGTATCCCTATGTGCCTATTTTACTCTTTATATACCCTTCAAACTCGT